TTATATTATTAATTAAAGTATATGATATCGTTATCCGTATCTTAGAAAAGTAAATATTTTTTATAAAACATCTAAAATAAAATATAATTAGTGTGTACTGAATACAATTTTTATCAATATCGTATATTCAATCATATTTACAGACCGGATATAATAACATTTGCGTAATCAGTACATAGCACAGTTAAAGGGGAAGAATATTAATGTCACATTGAAATGGACCGAAAAATGATCCGAAACGTTTAATGCATATATTCTAACGAAAGCGAGTATTAGTATATTTTTAAATATACTAATAAATATAAGAAAAAAGGAAGTATTTTTTTTCTTTCTTGCATTCCAATTACCGCGCCTTGACTCATGACAATTTTTAATTCTTTAATTATTACTATTTGAGCCAAAATTTTTATTTTAATTTTAAAATATTTTATACTTTAATTATTAAAGTTTAATATAACATAATTTTATATTTTACAAATGATATATGTCGTAAAATATTCTTCTCCTTTATTTTAAATATTATCTTAAAAATATCTAGATAAGACACTTGAATAATTTATCTTCATCAAGATATACCAAAATCGAAATATCTTTATCTTATCTGCGATACATCCGCATACCTTTGTCTACTTTATATCTAGATTATTAAGTTATCTAAACTCAATACTGGTACGTGATAAATACGTCAATTTCAATAAACACGCTTTTTTATAATAATAAAGAAAGTCATGATTTTCAATATATATTTCAAAAAAAATTAAAAAATTATTATTCCCTTTTCTAAAAATATTATTTTTACAATGTTTCAAAATCGCATATCTGAATCAAAAGAGAGCGCTACAAAATCCCAGGCGTGTATTACTTAGAAATATATATCCTCTACAATATACGTCAAAATGAAAATGATCCATGCTATGTAAATTAATGTGAATTCTTATCAAAAATATATACATATTTTATATATAACTATATATATTTGATTGATTTTCCCTGAGGATTTATTTTCTTGATTTTTCTCGATTTCAAAATATAATAGGAAGATCACGTGTGATACTTAAGAAAAATCGAAATACGTTTTTCTAAAGTGAGAAAAATTATAAATCCTACACTATACATATACAGGGTGTCCCAAAACTCATAATCAATCTTTCAAAGACAGATTCCTGGGATCATCTGAAGACGATTTTTCCTCAACGAAAATGTCGAGGCACTAATAATTTTCGAATTATAAATGATTGGAAATAAGGAGTTTTTCGTAAACTAAGCTTTGTAGAAATAAAATATTAAGAAAACCACATTCTTTGATTAATTTTAAAAAGAGTTTACTTTAGTTGAGTTTTAATTTAAGGCTTAATTGCAAAGATACATGATGACAAAAATCGAGAACATGCAAAAAATGATGGCCTTCATCGACATTTTCACTGAGAAAAAATCGTTACCAAATGATCAGGAATCTGTCTGAAAAATTGATTATGAGTTTTGGGACACCCTGTGTAAAGTATCTTGAATATGTAATAAAGGTAAAGATTGTATGTATATATAAGAAATTTATCTATATTTATTTGCACGACATACTTCAGTGAAGAATATAAATGCAATGATAATAGTTGGTAGCGATTTACAAACAAAGGGAATACCGTGATAATAGCGATAATTTCAAGACATTTACATATTTTTATGTTTGCATAAATACAGAATGTTAGAGAGAAAGAGAGGGGAAGGGGGAGGAGAGAGAGAGAGTGTGTGTCACATCTCCTGTTAACAAAATATACAAACAAAATTAAACAGCTGATAACTTCTTATCAATTAGTATAATCCCAAGTAGCACATCATTTGATGTTAAAAACGTGTGCTCGCTATCTGGGATATGATACAGAGACACTAGTGTTATATTCATTTCTTTTTTTTTTAATATAGAGGATCAGCAAGAGAGAAACAAGATTAAAACAATGCGTTTGAAAGTATATACCATTTAGTTATCCCATTTACATTATACATCGTATATCTTCATTTGTATATTTCCAGGAAAATGCTTCCAAGATCTCGGGTTATGAACCTATTTAAAAGGTAAACAATTGCAATTGTACACGTATTTAATTAATGTAAAGTCCATTCAAATACTCGAACGAGTACTGTCATAATCTTCTTATAAATATAGGCTCCTTAGCAAAGTAAACTTTGTTAACGCAAAACTTCAATATAACAGATTGAGCGTGTACGAAACGCTATGTTAGTAGATGGTGTTCTACCTTGCTTAAGCTACAAATGGATAACGGAAAGCACATATATATATATATATATATATATATATATATTATATATATATATATATACATATATTATATATATAAAATGATTATATATCATAATATATATTACATATATATAATAATTATATTATAATATATATTTTATATATATATACAGAGTGGCCCCGAACGTTCCAGCCAGACTTTGACATCTTGTAGGAAATTTAATTCTGAAGAAAAAATTTCGTATAAACATGGGTCGAAAAATGCTTCCTTAAGAAGTTATCGCTCAAAAACCTCTGATGAAGGAAGAGCGAAAAAAACGATAAAAATAAAAAATAAAAATCTTTTTCTTTTATGATAATAAAATAATTTGTTTTTAACTAATATTTTAGTAATAGCACGTAATAGTAGAAAATGAATAAAGACGTTTTTCAAGGAATTTATTTAGTTTCATTTTCTTTTCACTTTTTCTTGCTCTTCCTTCATCAGAGGTTTTTGAGCGATAACTTCTTAAGGTAGCATTTTTCGACCCATGTTTATAGGAAATTTTTTGTTCAGAATTATATTTCCTATAAGATCTCAAAGTCTGGCTGGAACGTTTGAGGCCATCCTGTATATATATACAATATGCATATTTACGAATAATCTAAAATAAAATATGCGCTCTTATAAAATTATTGCAGCTTCAACATAGCCCCAAACTTGAACCGAGAAAAACAAGTTTCCTTAAGCAATTAACATTTCTCGATTTTCTTCTTTAAAAGCTTATTCAGCGTATTTTGATTAAAATTATAATATTATGCTCACAAAAAAGATATATTACATGTCTCCATTCTCTAATTACGATAACGTATGTTTCTCTTTATCTTTCTTTTCGCGTAATTTTTCTGCTTTATCCGCTATTTATTTGTGTGTCTTAGGACTATAAAAGATTAGAATTTATATTAAAGACATACAGTCTACTGTTATTCAGATATATCCGTATTCAAATGATCGTTTCGTTGATGTCTAAAAATATCCTTAACTTTCCTTGGAGTTATTTTTCTTTTCTTTATATATATATATATATATATATATATATATATATATATATATAACCGCTATAATATCAATTAACCATTCTAGAGCGCGATTTCTTATCAGAAAACATTCATTAATTACATATAGTAATTCATTTAATCTATATTTTATACAAAATATCTCTGCATCGTTGCAATTGTTTGACAAAAACATACAAGTAACTTAATATTACGCACGTTCGATAGATTGAATTTTTCGTGTTTTGTATGTGCTCTCTCTCGATAACATATTTTTGTCCATTTGTGGCAGTAACAAAAGTTCTTGAGAATAACGTATAGCACCGATTGTCACGTGTAAAACTGGATCGATGATACAATACAAAAGAGCTTCCATTATCCGCAGGGAAAACACAAACGAGCAGATTAAAATTGGTAAGCTACAATCAAGATTTGAATATATATATATGTGTATGTGTATTTATATATGTGTGTGTATGTATATATACATACAGGGTGGCCCCGAACGTTCCAGATTTTAAGATTTAATTCTGAACAAAAAATTTCCTATAAACATGGGTCGAAAAATGCTTCCTTAAGAAGTTATCGCTCAAAAACCTTTAATGAAGGAAGAGCAAAAGGTGAAAAGAAAATGAAATAAAAAGAAAATGAAACTAAATAAATTTCTTGAAAAAAAAAACGATAAAAATAAAAATCTTTTTCTTTTATGAAAATATAATAAAAATTAGTTAAAAAAAAATTATTTTATTTTCATAAAAGAAAAAGATTTTTATTTTTTATTTTTATCGTTTTTTTCAAGAAATTTAATTAGTTTCATTTTCTTTTCACCTTTTGCTCTTCCTTCTTCAGAGATTTTTGAGCGATAACTTCTTAAGAAAGTATTTTTCGACCTATGTTTTATAGGAAATTTTTTCTTCAGAATTAAATTTCCTATAAGATCTCAAAGTCTGGCTGAAACGTTCGGGACCACCCTGTATATATATATATATATATATATATATATATATATATATATATATATGTGTGTGGGTGTGTGTGTATCTTCCAATTATATCCAATTATATTGTATCTCCTACTTTTATCAAAAAGTATTAAATTTATTTTCGAAATATGTTAAACACATTTTTCTCAGTGCAAGAGTTTTATATGTACATTAAAATATATACCTACATCTTAGAAACGAGCTTTCTCTGTCATTGTGCAATGGAAAATGTGAAAAGAAAATACAGATGCTCTATTACTGATAAATACATTATAAAGAATTTGAATGTATTGATAATATATAAATCATTTTTTGCCGAATGTATGTATATAAATTGTTTAAACAAATACATAAAGTATCCGAATACGAGTCCTGTCCGGCCAGCTATCCGTATCATTCCCATACAGCGTCTGCGTCAAATTCATCGCCAGATAGTGTGAAAATCATGTACGCGTAAGATCCGTGTGAGTTCTTTCTTACGCGATGCAATGATTTGTGAGCATTTATGCGATATGTCGTACCGTTCTTTTTATTTAGAAAACGCGTGCGCGCTATAAATATAGAAAAACTTCACAAACTCCAAAAAAAAAATGGAAAAGAAAATCCTTATCACTATTCAATTAACGATACTCTTGTTGTCTTCGCAGAGGATCTTCGCGCACGCTTGTGCGCGAAAAAGTAGAAGGATGACGGTGAATAAGGAACGCGATACAGAAGGACGTCCATACAGAACATTAAAAATACTTTTTTATATGTAATCTTACAGATTAAATCTAGATTAAATCTATAACTATAGACACACACACCTTTTTGTCTTTATCGAGCACTCATCTCTCGTTTTTCTTATACATCACGTTGTTCATACTCGATAATACATTGGATTTCGTTATCGTTGTTAGGCGTGTGTAAATTAAATAATGTGTGTAACATCGCTCGCGTGGGAGTCACGGCTGTACGAGGCCGGGGAGAGAATGGGCTCACGAGAAATTATCACCAGCTGTTTCCATCTTCATCTTCTTCTGTGGAGAAGTCACCTGCGAGCGTAGATCCGTACCAGGTCTTTTCGCTTGGGGATTACTTTTCACAGCGGTAGTTGGATCTGCTGATAATAATAGATCGTTTGTTCAAAAATGCATTCTTCTTGAAAGAATTTACATACAGGATGGATACAGTCGAATATCTCGTATAGAATGCATTTTAGAACAAAATGCTTTAGACAAAAGTTGTAAGGATTAAAAAGATGTATTTAACTGTAATATCCATTTCACATTGAGTGGCGTCGCCAAGGTCAGGGCAAAGTCAATTTGAATTTTTTAAATGGAACCCCCTATTTTTCATTGCATATTCTTGTAGCTTACCTCGAGAGCTTCCCAAAACACTATAATAAAATATTTTTCCCTCAAGCACTTTTTGAGTTATAAGGCTTAAAATCATTTCTTAATTTTACATAAACCATAAAATATTTAGTAAAATATTCATTTTTCGATTATCTTACCTTAATACTTTTATGTCCAAAATAATGAGAGGAATTAATTGGTGTAAATAAAACACATAGTTATTTCGAAGAAAAAATATGTAATTTGCAATTAATAATTAAATATTTCTTCTTAAAAGTAACTATGTGTTTTCTTTACACGAATTGAGTCCTCTCATTATTTTGTACGTAAAAGTATTAAGATAAGGTAATCGAAAAATGAATATTTTACAAGATATTTTACGGTTTATGTAAAATTAAGAAATTATTTTAAGCCTGATAACTCTGAAAGTACTTAATGAAAACTAACTTAATTATAGTGTTTTGGAAAGCTCTCGAGGTAAGCTACAAGAATATGCAATGAAAAATAGGGGGTTCCATTTAAAAAATTCAAATTGACTTTGCCGACCTTGGCGACGCCACTCAATGTGAAATGGATATTACAGTTAAATACATCTTTTTAATCCTTACAACTTTTGTCTAAAGCATTTTGTTCTAAAATGCATTCTATACGAGATATTTGGTGCTGTATCCAGACTTTTGGTCCACCCCTGTATACACATGACTCGGACTAACCTTGCAACCACCTGACTTGAGTGGCTGGTCCATATCCCTTGTCGTTTCGTGCTGCTATTCTAAAGATTATGGCCGGTTTCGTAGTCGTGTCCACGTGAGCGGCATTAAGGGCACTATTGTTCACCGAACAAGCATTATTCGAACCGCAATAAACTCTAATAAAGGCTAACTGATTTGGATTCGACACAACTGTTTTTGGTTCCCCGTCATTGTTCAACGCGGTACTCCGCACTGCCAGATAGACGGAATATTCGAGGATGGGACCAACGTTGCTCGGTGGCGGTTCCCAAGAGATTTGTGCGCCGTCTGCGGACTTGGATATTTTTATAGCGCTCGGTGCACCCGGGAAGCCCGGAAGACACGTTTTGAATGCTGCTACCTGTAATGAAATAAAAAAAAATCCCACGTCTTATTTGTCACAAAAATTTTGCCTACTAAATAAATATTATACGCGTACAAAATTCGACTTGTTACCTCGCTCCAGGCACTTTGTCCGCAAGTATTCACAGCGGCGACTCTGAATTTATAGGCAGTTCCAGGCTCCAATGCTACTTTGGTCCTTCCTTTAAAGATATCCATCGTCAAGGATTGTGTAATATCTAGCGGCTCGTCGCCAGGAAGATAATAATGTTGGACTGTAAAGCTGGTTCCCTTTATTACTCCTACATCGTACCATTCTGCCTCTTTCTTCTCCTCTTCGCTCTACAAAAATATCAATTAATATAATATATTTGTTGGCAGAACAGTACATTATAATAAAATCTACCTGTTCGTTTTTAACTTTTATCGGTGACTCAGCCGATCCCAAAGCAGCGGTAGCCAATGTCGTCAATGCCGTCGAATCATCCCCGGTTTCCGATCTAGCATCATTGAGCTTCTCCTGCTTCAAATTTTCTTTCTTCGAGGACGTTAGTTCGTCTTTCACTTCCATTTTCACAGGCATGTGTACTTTTGCGTCTTCCATTTCCTTCTCGAGAGGCAAGGCGACACCGTTGATCGATGATATTGGTACATCGGGCGACTTGTCGTGTTCTGTAGGTTCGTCGGTTGGTTCCAGTTTCATCTGCACACTCGGCGTTACGACCGGAGTCGTCACCGGTGGTGTTACATTAACTGCATCTGTCGCAGTCAACGTGCCATCATCAGTGGCCATTGGCTCACTGGTGTCTTCCGATTTTGCGAGAGAATTTTCAGCCGGAAGATTGATCTCTGCTTCTGCATTTTCATCTTTCACTTTCTCAGTTTCCTGAGTTTCATCTTTGGAAAGATGTGCCGTATCCGTATCTTCAACAAATAGATTCTCAGTCGCCAATGACTTTTCGTCTTCGGCAGAATACGGTTCGAGCTTTATATCTTTCGCTTGGTTGCTCTCATCCTGTTGGGTTTCATCGGTTTTCGTTGCTGTCGGATTTACGACGTCTGTCAAAGTTGTCTGTTCCGATGACGCTTCCGCAGGTGATTCTACCAAAGGTAAATCAGGTTTCATCGGTTTCGTTTCATCAATTAATGGTTTAATATCCACCTCTTTTTCATTCGGTTGCTCCGCATCATCGGCGCTTGTTTCGATAGGTATTTCGTCATCGGCTGATGGATTATCAGCGGCTTCCTCGGAAATTTCGCCGGTAACAGCAGGAGTAATCGACTCAGTCGTTACCGCTTCAGGCGTGGCGGCTTCCTCCTTTATTGTAGATTCTTCCGTTTGAACATTTTCAGCCTGAACATTAACACCCTGTTCTGCAACTGCTGCCGGCTCATCAACATTAGCCGATTCGGTAGCGCTTTCTGAAGGAGCAGACTCTTCGTCTAGATCCATCTTCTCCTCGTCTTCCGATAAAAGAGCATCAATCGGCCCGTCAACTTGAGGAAGTATAAAATTTCCATCGCCGTCGACTTGCATCGGTTCACCCGCACTCATCTGTGAAACTAGAGCAGCCGCTGTAGTCGTTTCATTACCATTACAGCTGTCTTCCATTTTGTCGTCACCAGCAGCACCATCATCTGCAGCTACCATAAACGACAGGCCACCAGATGGTTCCTGAACCGGATCTATCAGACCTGCCTCTGCTGCTAATGCGGCTAACGCAGCATCAGTAGTAGCTGGGCCATCAGATGTTGATGCTAAAATATTATTTTATGTAATTTAACAATTTGCAATTTTTTTCATATCATGTTGATGTTCAAATACATAACTCCATTTACCTAAGGAAGCTGAAGGTTGTTTCTGTGAAGAAACAAAAAGCATTTTACCAGCATCTATTGAATCTGATGCACTCGAAGTAGTCACTATAGAACTGCTTGTTGGCATAAGCGTCACTGTCTTTGCACCTATGCCTCCCGACATTTGCAAAGTTACCGGTTTCCCAGACATCGTCACTGCTTCCTATAATTTGTGTAAATAAATTAGACACATAAAAATGTTATATAGGATGTTTCAGACCACCCATTCAAAAACTAGAGAAGTGATTATTTCAAAAAACATTTTCTTTATAAATCGAGAGCGCTCTATCGAATGGTGATATTTTCAACTTCTGATTTCGGCCGGAAATAAACGATTTAGATCGGAAGTGCATTTTTTTAAATGGAACCCTCTATTTTTCATTGCATATTTTTGTAGCTTACCTCGAGAGCTTTCCAAAACACTATAATAAATTATTTTTCCATAAAGTACTTTTCGAGTTATGAGGCTTGAAATCATTTCTTAATTTTACATAAACCATAAAATATTTTGTAAAATATTCATTTTTCGATTATCTTACCTTAATACTTTTAAGTACAAAATAATGAGAGGAATCAATTGATGTAAAAAAAAACATACAGTTGTTTTTAAGAAAAAATATGGAATTGTTAATAGCAAATTACATATTTTTTCTTAGAAACAATTATGTGTTTTCTTTACACCAATTGATTCCTCTTATTATTTTGTACATAAAAGCGTTAAGATAAGATAATCGAAAAATAAATATTTTACTAGATATTTTATAGTTTATGCAAAATCAAGAAATGATTTTAAGTCTTATAACTCGAAAAGTACTTCATGGAAAAATAATTTATTATAGTGTTTTGGAAAGCTTTCGAGGTAAACTACAAGAATATGCAATGAAAAATAGGGGGTTCCATTTAAAAAACTGCACTTTCTGTCTGAATCGTCTATTTCCGGCCGGAAGCAGAAGTTGAAAATATCACCATTCGATAGAACGCACCCGATTTATGAAGAAAATGTTTTTACTTTTTTGAAATAACCACTTCTCTAGTTTTTAAATGGATGGTCTTAAACACTCTGTATATATATTCTTTCTCTTACTTACGGGAGTTTTTTGCATTTGTGGCACGGCAACGATTTGACTTTTGCCAGGATTGAAGATGGCTTGCGAACTGCCTTTCGTAGCGATAGTCACTGTCTTTGGTACACCGCCCTGTCCCGGGACTGTGATAGTGATAGGCTTGCCGGCAGTTCCACCGCCCATCGCACCAGAAGAAACAACAATCATTTTGACGCCTTGTTGATTCGTGACATGATTAGTAGCCGATAATGGTAGGACGTTGACAGGAGTAGTAATGTTACCCCCTTGTCCCGTACTAGCCTGCGAGGTCGTCACAGCTTGCACAGCTCTAAGACCTGAGCCTGTAGTAACGACAATGATTTGATTGGGTCTGCCAACCAGTCCGCCATTACCACCTGGTTTAGTAATCATTATAGTCTGCTTGCCCGTGATATTCTGTCCCTTGCTCATCGCTACTATATTTGACGTTTTCATGGTCGTGAGTATCTTTGATCCTGCCACCGTATTTGGACTCACCAGTCGCAATATTGTCGCTCCCTGATTGAGAGGCTTTGCGCCGGCCGCTTGGACAGTTTTGCCGGGAATGAGGCTCACCTTGGGCACTGTGGTCACCATGCCCTGTCCGGTCTTGAGGAGATGCACAATCTGCTGACCAGATATGTTCTGACCGGGTTTTTGCAATATGATCTGTTTGCTTTGCTGCGGCGAAGTGGCGCGCAGCACCGTAGCACCGGGCGCAGCGAAGCGAATCTGCTGACCCGGCTGAACATTCTTCATCCTAATGGTATTGGTCGCGGTCGCGGCTCCAGCCTGCGGCAGAATGGGGACATTGTTCATGGTAATTTTTGGAGTGGCGGCCGCCGCGGCAGCCAGAGCGGCGATGCCGGACATCGCGGCGGCGGGTGTCTGGCCTGACGCCACAGTTGTAGTCGCGGTCGCGGTGGTTTGCTGTTGTTGCTCGGTGGTAGCCACTGCTACTGCCGTCGGTATCGCTGCCGCGACCGTGGAAGTAACCAGGGGAGAACGGATGCGTATGACATTGCCGGTCACGACTCTCGGAGTCATGGGACTCGTCGGTTTTGGCACCACTTGCGGCGATACAACCTTTACGGGACTCTGCGCGGTCGACTGGACTCGCAACGGACTCGTCACCGTCGCTGTGACAGTCGATCTGGCGGCAGCGGCAGGAGACGGGATAGTCGGAGGAAGAGCAGCGACCGTGGTCACGGGCGGAGATGTGACGGGGACGGTCGCGGGGGTTGTCGCCATCACGGGAGTCGTTACCGCTGCCGCGGGGGTGGTGCTGACGATGGGTGTGGTAGGGGCTGGTGCGCTTACTGGCGGGAAAGCGCCAGTCGCCGCTGGTGGCATGTCGTACTTCTGTATCTGGAGGATATAATATTGCGCGGACGGGCTCGCGGTCCAGCTGACTTCCAACGTTTGCGTGGAAGCCCTGACCAGCTGGACTCTGGAAGGCGGCGTCGGTTTACTGACCTCGAGATACCATAGATCCTTGCAGCAAACCTGAAGAATCACACAAGTGTCGTAATATAAAGGCACTCTATCCGATTAAGGATCGTATAACCAAGACTAACCCTGACCTGGTTGTTCCAAGCTTTACGATAGCCGTCTCTACCAGACCAAACGTAGAGTCTGCTGTGCACACCAACTGCACAGTGACCGGCGCGAGCACGTGGAACATTTTCCTCCAGAGAATCGACAGTCAATTGCTCCCAAGTTAGAGTTTCTGAAATAATATTTCATTTAAACAACGGTGAAACACAATGCAAATAGGATCGAAAACAAGTCTTTCTGATAAATAATCTTCTTCTCGATGAATAATTAAATTTTATCAAACTGATTATCAGCAAGCTGATAAATTTATTATCAAGATACTTTAGGACTATGTACATTTGAGCAAATTCAGAATATTTTTCTACTTAATATGCCAGCAATATTTCCATTCTTCTGGACTATGTCAACGGGATTTATCAGATTGTAAATCTACGAATTACGTTACTGCACATTTAATCATAAAATTTCATTAGCATATACATTGTCCACAGACAATTTCAGCAATATTATGATTACTTGGAATTGTATGTAGTATCTCATGGACGCATTAGAACTTCTCAAAAATATACTTCTAAAAAGTATATTACATTCCTTCCACGCGCGTTAAGTCACTCCCGAATAATATGTGTAAGAATAATGACCTTGCCACGCAATATAGGATGAGCCATTTTAAGTTACCCACTCCAATAACTTTTTTATTTTTGAATGTACAATAAAATATTTCAAATAAAAGTTGCTTGACTTCGAGGGGACAGAAGATGGTGGCAAAATTTTGACCTTGGATAGTCATTTGAAGGTCACATTCAATTTCTTAAATGGAATCTACTATTTTTCATTGCATATTCTTGTAGCTTATCTCGAGAGCTTTCCAAAACATTCTAATAAAATATTTTTTCCTCGAGTACTTTTTGAGTTATAAGGCTTGAAATTACTTCTTAATTTTACATAAATCATAAAATATATCTAATAAAATATTCATTTTTCGATTATCTTACCTTAATACTTTTATGTACAAAATAATGAGAAGAATCAATTGGTGTAAAGAAAACACATAGTTGTTTCTAAGAAAAAATATGTAATTTGCAATTAACAATTCCATATTTTTTCTTAAAAACAACTGTATGTTTTCTTTACATCAATTGATTCCTCTCATTATTTTGTACATAAAAGCATTAAGGTAAGATAATCGAAAAATGAATATTTTACTAGATATTTTATGATTTATGTAAAATTAAGAAATGATTTAAACCCTCATAACTCAAAAAGTACTTAACGAAAAGGTACTTAATTATAGTGTTTTGGAAAGCTCTCGAGATAAACTACAAGAATATGCAATGAAAAATAGTAGGTTCCATTTAAGAAATTGAAGGTGATCTTTATGTGACCTTCAAATGACTATCCAAGATCAAATTTTTGCCATCATCTTCTGTCCCCCTCGAAATCAAGCAACTCTTATTTGAAACATTTTGTTGTACATTCAAAAATAAAAGTTATTGGGATGGGTAACTTAAAATAGCCCACCCTGTATAAAGCGGGCGCAATACCTTTTTCGGATGGCATAGAAAGGACATATTCATGCAAATCTCGCGAATAATCGTCATGTGAAACGATATCTCTTCTACAACTTTGAACTTAACAGGAGTGAAAGTAATTCATTAAAGTAGAACTGCATATGATCTACTTAATTTTGAGAGATTCCTGCATATTTAAGATTTATAATGAAAGAAATGATGAAATGTAGCTTACCTAGATTCAAGCATGCTAGTGTACTTGTGCATTTCCACTCTTTCTCATGCGTCGCGACTTTAACATCATCGACGACCAATGGCACCCATCCCCCGAATACGTACATGCGATGACCGATCAAAGTGGCAGTATGTAGTGATCGTGGTAGAGGGGTGGGTCCATGGACCATTGGTTTGTTCCAAGTCATCGAATCGACATCGAGGAACCACAAATCACCCAAACGACAACCGCTCATACCACCGTAAATCACCAGACAGGATTTACCCGTCGTACGATCGGTGTAGGCGACTCCAGTGTGAGATTCTCTGGGGGGTGGCGCATGTCCATGCGTCTGCGGCACATCCCAGGCTGTTTGGCCATTGGGAAGAAGCTCGAGAGTATACAGATCGTTCAGATATCTCGGTATATTGTTCTTCGGGTCATCGCTGTCGTTCGCGAGACCTCCAAAGAGGAAGACCCTGTTGCCGATAAGAGTGAAACTGTGTCCCAATCGCGGACACGGAGGTGGCTCGTGTTTAGGCGGCTTCGGCTTCAAGCGTTTCCATTCCCATCGGCTCGCTTGGAGCTCGTACAGCTCGTTGGAGTACTTGCCATATTCCACCATTCCGCCAAAGACCAGGATACGTGTGCCGTCGACGACAAATCCGTATGCCGCGCAACCTGGCGGGATATCTCCCTTTGTGGATGGCACGAACCATTGGTTTGTGGCTGCAAAAGTATATATAAATGTTTATATTGTTATATATGATACATATTTTAAAGTAACCTTTTATTTTCTGATTGTAATATTAATGAGGCATTCATAAGAATAACCCACTCTGAGTATTTTTTGTAAACTTGTAAAAATAAATACTTGATCAAAATAATTTAATCATATCAATGAAATTTGTTTTTATTACATATTGGAAAATGTTCAATAACAGAATTTAATTTTATTATTTTAAGTGACTTTAATTATTTAAATAACAAATTTTTGTATTTAAATGATAATTATTTAAATAAATAAGTTTCAATTATTTTAAATAATAAATTTAAAATTTTTTAAAATCTTAATTTCACTTTAAAACATATATAATACTTTAAAACTACACTTTAAAACATATATAATAATAATTATATATATATATATATATATATATATATATATATAGCTAGTATATTTTATATTTAATTTTATAGTAATATATTTAATTTTTTTGTAATTTATTCATGTCTATTCAAATTCTTTTACTTTGTTAAAAAATCTCCTGATTGTCCAGATATTTTTGCTTAAAATTTCAGGTAAAGAAAATATTTAAACATAACATTTTCATTTTTTTATCATTACAAATTAAAAAAAGGAAAAGATATATATACTACATATTCAATCTTGTGAAGACATATGAATATATATATATACACACACATATATGTATAAAATAAATATATATCTATTTATTATAAATAATATTAATTATATATATATATATATATATATATATATATATTTATTTATTTTAAATACAGAGGTATATAATATATTAGAGAAATACAGAGACAGATATATATATATATATATTTATAACATATTTTAAATACACTTCACTTGATTTACCGATTGCTTACGATACAAGAAAAAAATTATCAAAAATAAAAATAAAAAATAAAATTTCCGAATTCTCAATAAAATTCCATGAGAATTCTCTGATTTTTCAATTATAACAAAATCCCTAAGAATTCCAAGTTTTTCTAATAGAGTAAAAATCTTGTTAAGGCGCATTCGGACCTTGGCAGAAAAACAGGAGCCAATCACAGAAAAGCAGAATGTACTGTTTACTACACAGTACGAATTGTGATTGACTTCAGATTTTCTGTTTCTCGCTTTTCTGCCAAGGTATGAATGCGCCCTTGGATCTTTGAAAAAAGAAATGCAACCAAAATATTTCTATTAAATTTCAAAAATTAAAAGAAATCAAAGTAGGCAGACAATCTAGGACATTGTTCCAAATCTATTACTGAAAAATCTCTGCAATTTTCTATTAAGCGTCGTTTACAATGAGATTTTAAGGAAACTAAGACGTAAGGCTAATATTACATTTGTCGTACGACAAATTTTTTAAGCACATTGATTGATTGCGGGATAATAATTTTTTGAATCTTTAAAAATTTTCTATTCTGCAGCCAATCAGTGTGCTTAAAAAATTTGTCGTACGACAAATGTAATATTAGCCTTAGACTTAAGAAATTGACCAATCACAATCGAATATTCTCTTAATACTTGACTGTGATTGGTCAATTTCTAAAGTCTTACGCTTTAAGTCTCCTTAAAATCTCATTGTAGACAACGCTTTACAAATCAATTACAGCTTTACAAATCTTGTAAAGTAAAAAAAAAAAGGACTTTTATTTCAACCAATAACTCAATCAATTTATTTCTCTCAAACGAAACAAAAAACATAAGAGCGTTAAAAAAAAAAAGGAAAAAGCAAAGAGGAAGGACATCGCCGAGAGGCAGAAACCACAAGAATCCATATGCGTTCCGGCTGTTACCATGGCGAGCTCGAGCGCGAGGGCAAACATTTCGAAATTCCGGCTGGAAGTGCGCGCAACTGCGCGCGCATGCGCGACGAGTCGGCGCTGCGCCGACACGCATGCGCGGGAGAGAGAGAGACCGCGGCGGCCGGGCGAGAGAGGGAAACGACGCGCGCGAGGGATAGAAAGAGAGAGAGGGAAGAAAGGAAGGAAGAGAGAAAGAGAGAGAGAGACGAGGCGAAGAAGCGCGAACGTGGAACGACGGGAAACGCGATTGCGTCGCGCTCCCTTTTAAGCAAGGGGGCGTTGAAGGCAACAATGGCCGCTCCCGCGTATAAACACGTAGAAATGACAGATCGCGGCCGATTACGCGTCGCCGGCTTCCCCGGGCCGATGCCCGCCGATTCCCGAACGGGACGCGGGGGGCGATGGGGGGCCCGCGGAGGGCGATCGGGACCCCCCGGCGAAAGGCACGTCCCGACGATCCGGCCGGTGACCGTCTTGTCAACGTATGCCGCCATATTGGTTCGCGGGAATCGGCGAGGGAAAAAGGGACGCGAGAAGCCACAGGAGAGAGAGAGAGAGAGAGGAGGGGGACACGAGACTCACCCGTGTTGTATACGTGTAGCTCGTCGACGATGCCCTCGTTACCGCCGCCGAAGACCACCATGAGGTCCTTGATGGCGACCGCCCGGTGGCCATGCCTCGGCCTCGGCTGGGGCCCGGTAGGATTCGCGATCCGCTTCCACTTTAGCATGGGTGCCGCCATGATGACCGTCGATCACATCATTTTTTCATGCCGCGCGAACGTACCACTGCTACTATCGCTGCTATTGCTATTTGGGAGCCACCGCCACCGTCGAGTTATTCCGAGAGTGGCGCGATACACGGTGGATTATGTAGACCGGGTGTCCTCCTCTATCACAGAACGCGCGCACCGAACTTGGAGGCTCTGCGCGCGACGCCGCGCGTGTATACGTGTGTGTGTGTGTCACTGTATTTACGTGCGCGGTGTGTTTACGGGCACCGGTCGCGCGGATTCTAGAGCGGCAGCTTCACGTCGTTGGTGTCCTCGTCGTCTTGCGATCCTCTCACATCGTTCCCTCTCTCTCGCTCACTCGAAGATTCGAGATTAATCGGCGGCGATTCCGGGTGTACGCGAAAGCTCCTCCCCCTCTGCCGCCCGATGGCGAAGTTTGGTTGAAAAAGCGAAGGGCGGGCTAGTGGAGGTTTGTGTGGTTACGGCAAGATCGAGCGAGACGCGACGAGTGATGAGCGTCGTGCTTGTCGGAGAAACAGACGGATTGCTCGGGAAATTGACGGGAAGGCGCACGAGCGGCCTTCGAGAACCTCGTCCACCATTGCACACAACTCTCGCGTCGGCAACAAGCGGTAACAGGACGGGCGCATTGCCAACCGACGCCGAATTCCAGGGGATTAGGGAGTGTTCGATGGCGGCGATATTTTCGATCTTTCGAGAATCGATCGTTTTCTTTGGGTGGGATTCGATTGACCACGTCGCCAATTGGTTGATTCAAAATAGGACTCTCTGATTGGTTAATCGTTGCTGGTTACCCTAGGCACGAGTCGATATAGGCCGGTATTCATAGTCCGATCTTATATTTAAGATTGTCTTAAGTCTGGTCCGAGATTGACTTAAGACCTCATTCAACCAATCAAATAGTTGCGTAGCATTCCAAACTCGAACTTAAGACGATCTCAAATATAAGATCGGACTATGAATACCGGCCATAATTGGCTGTGGTCAAAAGGGACGCTCCCGTTTTTTTTCGGTTTCTCCTTCGAAATTTGTTATCTCGGTAATTTTGTTCTGTTTCTCATAATTTTATTAATGTAAATACAGTATAAAGGATTTGATGAATTGTTTATGTATGTGAATTCTATTTTTTTCCCTCTCTCTCTTTCTCTGTCGATATAATTTATCTTAGGCCGGATCTACAATAGATAATTTAGGCCGGGTGCACCAATGTTATTTCATCTTTAAAGGCTTTCGCACATGAATTGCCATAACCATAAACGTAAAACGTAAACGTAAGCTGAAAAACCAATCGGAATATCGCTTTAGCTTTGGGTCTGTTCGTTTTAGTTGCACTGCTGCATTAGTGCAATAAGTTAGAAAGAGACAAACATACTTTCTTTCACTCTAACTAATTGCACTAGTGCAGCAGTACAGCTAAAACGAACAGACCCTATATGTATCCTAGAAGACAATAGAAATGATGATAAAGTTGGCCATAAGCAGAAGTAACTAGGATTTCAACCAGTTAAAATCCTAATCGCAAAGGAGTCGCAAGTCGTAAGTCATAGGCAAATTGACCAACCATAGTCGATTATTTTAAAAATAATAAACCATGAGTGGTCAATTTGTCTACTTACGATTTGCGACTCCTTTGTGACGTTACGATACGACCAATGTAGATCCAGCTTAAGACCGAGTCTACAATAGGCAATTTAAGCATCAAGCCTTAAGAGATTGACCAATCACAGTCAAGTATGAAGAGAATACTCGGCTGTGATTGGTCAATTTCTTAAGTCTTACGCTTAAGGCCCGATTGCACCAACGTTATTTCAGCTTTAAGCGAAACTTAAATATATGTCTGTCTTTATTTATTTAAAAAGAAAGATAAAGATAGATATATATTTAAGTCTTGCTTAGGCCCAGTTCCACAATCCAGTTAATTCGAGTTTAAGTAGCGAATGGACCAATCAGGACCCAGTTTAACGTATTAAACTCGGATTAACTCGAATTGTGGAACCGGGCCTTAAAGCTAAAATAATGATGGTACAATTAGAGCACTAAATATACAGGTATTCTATACTCCGCCATTTTTAATCCATTCCCCCTCCTTGTTTCTTGTGTCACTCGCCTCGTCGCTAAGCTGAGATTATAGTAGATAGGTTAGTGAGATTATATGGGGTGGGGGGATGGATTAAAAATGGTGGAGTATAGAATACTCATATATTTAGTGCCTTAGTACAATCAGGCCTAAGTCTCCTTAAAAAGCCGCATTAGCCCGGGTCTACAATAGATAATTTAAGCCTTAAGCCTTAAAAGATTGACCAATCACAGTCAAATATGAAGAGAATACTCGGCTGTGATTGGCCAATTTCTTAAGGCTTAGGGCTTAAATTATCTATTGTAGATCGGGACTTAAGTGTCGTCTACAATGAGATTTTAAGGAGACTTAAGGCATAAGACTTAAAAAATTGACCAATCACAGTCAAGTATTAAGAGAATATTCGATTGTGATTTGTTAATTTCTTAAGTCTTACGCCTTAAGTCTCCTTAAAATCTCATTGTAGACGACGCTTTAAGGACAATCGGTGATACTAGTAGGCTCACTATTCAAAAAATATTAATTAAATCTATTATTTATTTTGTATTAATCATAATTGTTATAATAATTTAGTTAAAATTAAAATTTGAATATTAATATTTACATATTTAGAAAGTAATTCAGGCCGAGTCTACAATAGATAATTTAAGCCCTAAGCTTTAAGAAATTGACCAATTACAGTCGAGTATTCTCTTCATACTTGACTGTGATTGGTCAATCTCTTAAGGCTTAAGACTTAAATTGTCTATTGTAGACCCGGCCTAACAACGTAAAAAGCGTAAAATAATTACGTATAGAAAATATATTCTTTCTCTTCTTGTAGTAATTAAACAAAATAAATTGTTTTACATTGTTGCTAGAAATGCTGATAGTCATTTATTTTTAAAATAAGGGAGCAATCAAAATATTTTTCTTTTCTCTAATATTTTTTTCAATAAATAATAGAAATAAATGCAGATATATTTCAATAGAACATTATAATGAGATCACAAGATATTTAAATGAATACGATGGTGTTCAGCATTGAATTTCGTATATACTAAAATGAGTTATATCCTTAAAAAGGCATGATGAGGAGCAGTACATATTTGAGAAAAGAACACCAATAGTATCATGATACAATAACTAATTAGTACTAATTAGTAAATGACTATTAGTCATTACAAGAATATAATTATAGTAAGAGCTATTATTGAATATTTATAAACTTTTTCTTGAATCTATCTCGAACAATTTTTTAATTTTTTTTGAGAAGGCTTTATTAGAGATTAATTTCTGCACTAACCAATTAGAAAATTACAACAAGAATAAGTATCCACATATAATATTCTTAAAGTTGTATCGCTTCTATTCCTTCAAAATTCACTCCAGATAGCGAGTCTAAAAAATAAAAATGCTATAAGAGCGTTGTTTATGTAATAGATGTGTAATGATTGCTTGTTTTCTTTGCATGTGCTTAAAAAATAATACATTATTCTCTTGCAAATATGTTATTTATATAAATGTGTTTTTGTATATTTTATTCTATATAACATACAAATATAATATATATGACATTTAATATATGATATTTATTATGTTTTGTATGTTTATCTTAAAGAAATCATATCATATGATAGAAATCGGTTATATATTTTATTTATAAACATATAATACTTTTTTTTTCTTTACATATATTTTAATCTTTTTTATAAATCATGTCAGAGCATAAAAAATATTTTTGATAATTGATTAAATTTTATATGTTCCATTTCTTGGTAATATTTCAGTTATTTCTTCAAATCAATATTAAATTGAAATATAAACAAAATGAGTATAAAGTTGTCTTCTATCAATTCAATATGTTTGTAATAAGCTCAAAATTTATTTCTATTTAATTCATGGAATGACAAAGTGCAACTATCTTTAAAATCAAAAATAGATATTTTCTTCCTTTATATCTTTTTATCTTTATCTTCTAATATATTTATAATTATTTTAAATTGTTGAAATTCCATGCTTTTAAAATCAGATGCAGCTTTAGCTTATTTGAAACAAATGATATATATTACAATTAGTCAAATAATTGACAGCTTACAATCGCAAATATATATATATAATACTTCAACTATATATATATATATAAATATTGAATGTAAATAAAAAAATTATTACTTACAAGACTAATAGCATGATAACAATATAAATAGAATGTTAATGTTCTTTGCCTATCAAAGCAACTTCACATATCTTGCATACTGTATCTTTAAATTGTGGGTTATAGCTAGCACCGCACAATGGACATTTTACTTCCGGTTTTCCTTTGTAAATAGGTGTGAATGTGCTTGCACACAACGAAAATGGATTGTGTTCATCGTATGCTAATTTATGCTCATCGACAGGATTCTTGTCACAAGACTGAAAAATAAATTAATTTTTTATTTATAGTTAATATTATACAGGATGGACCCGAACGTTCCAGCCAGACTTTGAGATCTTATAGGAAATTTAATTCTGAAGAAAAAATTTCTTCTAAACATGGGTCGAAAAATGCTTCCTTAAGAAGTTATCGCTCAAAAATCTCTGATGAAGGAAGAGCAAAAGGTGAAAAGAAAATGAAACTAAATAAATTTTTTGAGAAAAAAAAAAAAAAACGATTAAAAAAAATAAAAATCTTTTTCTTTTATGAAAATAAAATAATTTTTTTTTTTAACTAACTTTTATTTATAGAAAATTTTTTGTTCAGAATTAAATTTCCTATAAGATCTCTGGCTGGAACGTTCGGGGCCATTCTGTATATTCATATAAATATCAATTTATAGTAAAAACAAAAATACCTGTAATAAAATTCGAATTTTTTGCGCAAGCTCAGGATTTGGTCCGAGCTCGAGTAATCTTCTCGCGAACGAAGCAGCGGTTTTGTAATTCTTCAATTTATAGAATAGATTCACAGCTACTTGAAGCGTGAGAATCTGATGAACAGGTTGCAGATTACAGTGTGTAAAATACGCCGCCATCTCGCAAATTCTCTTATGATCAGCTAATGTGGCTCTTGGTAGACTTTTACGTTCAGTTTCCATTTTCAAACCTAAGATATATTCGCGACAAATCTGAATCAATTGTTGAGCTTCCGCGCTGTCCTGTTTAGTATCAACGACGAGCAACGGTACGCTTAGTAAGATTCCTTGTAGCTTCTCTATCGCTTTAGCAAATTTGCCATTGGTCGTCAATTGATAGCACATCTGAAGACGCTGAACTAATTCGGCAAGATGTAATCCTACTGCAGGTACACCAGTTTTTGATGTAGCATCCTTCCAACTGGTATCCTTCCAGTTTCTTTGTGGATATCCGTACAACGACGGTACACTAGGCAGACAAGCGTAGGATGTTCTAGAGCGGGCGTACGTATTCAAAAACAAAGGCTGATAAGGTCCGAATTCCACTACCCCAACTTGGTTGTTCAGTAATCTGAAAGCGGACTCAAATGACCCGGCCAATATGTGATCGATCGGTAACTTGGAGTTATTTATCCAATTCTGAGTCGGTGGAATTCCCTTAGTGGGTGGCGAATAATAACCGTCTTCGTTGGCAGTTGTTGCTGCCTCGAGTTCTGGTGGAAGATCGACGTCTTCAACATCCCATCCAGGATTCTCCTCGCCTTCCGGTGCGATTTCCGCGTCCACGAGTTCTTCATCGTCTATACCGAGTTCCTCGTCGTTGCCCCAGCCTTCGGGTGTCGCTGCACCGTCGTCCTCCAAAGCGAGAGCAGCGGCTACCTGAGTCCTGCTGCGAGACATCATCGCGCCCTCGAAGAAACCTTTAGAAACTGTCAACAGCGGCCAATTGTTTTCAGCTTGTTGAATAGGTACAGGTGGGCGAAGGTATATAGCACCCTTCTCCAGTGCAGAAAGTTCTTCGCTCATCGACTCATAGTGAGCGTCGTCCTCCTCGTTTGATATACCATGAATTTTTTCGGTGACATACGCTAATGATGCTTGTCCAGAGTTCTACAAAGAATTCAAATAGAAATTTATATAATTTAAAAAATATATTTAATATTTAATAATTTTATTTAATTTAAAAAACTTTTTTTCAAATAAATAAAATTAATAGTTAGAATCAGGGTTAGCAAAAAACTTGTTTTTTTTATTTTAAACAAAAAAACGTTTTTTTTTCTTTAGAACAATGTTTTTTGTTTTATTTGTGTTTTTAAGTAAAAAAAAAAACATGCTTTAAACAAAAAAAGCATGTTTTAAACAAGCAAAAAATACTTAATAGCTTTGATCTGTGTAAATATTTAAATTTTTCGCTAGCGTTAAACTGTAAATAACGTTGCTAAAATTGACAACGCTATTGAAAATATGAATAATAAAATAAAAATGATAAGATGGGTATTATTTTAGCAGAATATTTATTTTTGGATATTAAATAACAATCAATACAATTACTTAGAAGATATTGACTGACATTACACATTTTACATTTTAACATTTTAAATTAATAGTACATAACTCATAGCAGGTCAGTAGTTTAAAAAAAAAGTTCTAATTAATAATATTTAATATATAATACTTTGGTTCCTTTCCTATTCTTATTAAGTTATCTCATGCTTAACTCTCAATATAAATTATAAATAAAAGAAAAATAAAAAAAAACCTCAATTCTTCTTTTTAAAAGAAGAACTTTTTTTAGAACTACTGACCTCTGCTATGAGTTTTGTACTATTAATTTAAAATGCTAAAATGTAAAATGTAAAGTCAGTCAATATCTTCTAAGTAATCTTTATTGTAATGGATTGTTATTTAATATCCAAAAATAAATATTCTGCTAAAATAATACCCATCATTTTCCCATCATCTTATCATTTTTATTTTATTATTTATATTTTTATATCTATATGTTACATAAATATAGATAAAAAACTAAAAAAACACTAAAACAAAAATTTTTTTGCAACATACACATCTATGTTTTTGTTTGTTTTTGATTTTTTTTACAATTTTTTTTCAAAATATGTTTTATTTGCGATATTTTAAACGGTTCTAAACAGTAGTTAAAACAGTTTAAAATAAAAATGTTTAAAATAGTGTCCACTGTTTTAAACAAGTTTTAATCATACAATTTTAAACACATTGTTTAAAAAAACATGTCAACCCTGGTTAGAATAGAAATATATTTACTCGCAAAATTTTGGCCCGCTCGTAAATGTCGCCAAGCAGCAAACTTCCTTGATATTGTCCGGATACATCTTTTCGAATTTCCGCAATTTTTATCATCTTACGGAGTTTCTCTAGGTTGCCGGTTATGAGATAAAGGAAGGCCAACTTTTCAAAGTTCTTGGTCCTTTGATAGCACATTTCCACGACTTGATGATTGCCTTGTAGCAAGGCAGTTTGCGCCAAGCTTTCCCAGCACGATTTTTGATCGAGAGATCTCGCCGCTTCCAACGCAACTTCGATGTTACCACATTCAAGTGCGAGACCAAATCTCGTTTTCTCATCTTTTACAAAGTGAAGCGCTACTTCTGGATATCCTTTCTGTTGCAGATATGCTATAATCGACTGTCCAACGAGATTCGCAGTGCGAACCATGTGTAAAACTTCTTCGTATTTTCTGTTAATTAGTGCTAGTTTGAATTTATATTCCGTCGGATCTATTCGAAGGATTCTCGGTCTGCATTCTCGATCCAAACAGTAAACTTGATTCCCCTTCACTCTCGTGACATAGATTGGCAAGTCTAGCGTGCGGATGATACCATGATCGCCGTTGCTGATCGCATATTTAATATGGTTGCTAGTCGTGTAAATGAATACACCGGAATCATCCCAGGCGCCAGACTTTACTCTCGTGTTTTCGTGCACGGAACAGAGAGATTCTAATCGACGATTGCAAATGTTGACAGTGTGTTTGGCCAGCAAGGCGACGTGAGACATGTCGCTGGACCACACGACGTATCTACATTTTGCGATTTTCACTTCCGCCAAAGTTCTCTTCTGCTGTACGTCGAACAGCGTTACCTGTTCTGGATCGCGCAGAAGTAGCATGCCAGTGCCAGCATAAAATATTTCATCGCAGTTTGGAATTTGCACCTTCTTTGTGACCTCGTTCTTCAGATTCTTGATAACCAACTAGAAAAAATAAATATTTATCATGTAAAAACATGTATTTTACAAGCATATAGTAAGTGGAATTGTCATGTACAGGAAAAAATATTAATTAGAAAAATAAAAATAGTGCGAGAATAATCAGAATATATAGGGTGTTTCAGAGCACCCGTAACACCCATTTAAAAACAAGAGAAGTGGTTAATTCAAAAAAGTAAAAACATTTTCTTTATAAATTGGATGCGTTCTATCGAATGGTGATATTTTCAACTTCTGGTTCCGGCCGGAAATAGGCGATTCAGACCGGAAGTGCATTTTTAAAAATGGAACCCCCTATTTTTCAATGCATATTCTTGCTTACCTCGAGAGCTTTCCAAAACACTGTAATAAATTATTTTTCCATGAAGTACTTTTTGAGTTATGAGACTTGAAATCATTTCTTAATTTTACATAAACCATAAAATATCTTGTAAAATATTTATTTTTCGATTATTTTACTTTAATACTTTTATGTACAAAATAATGAGAGGAATCAATTGGTGTAAAGAAAACACATAGTTGTTTTTAAGAAAAAATATGTAATTTGCAATTAACAATTTCATATTTTTTCTTAAAAACAACTGTATGTTTTCTTTACAATTGATTCCTCTCATTATTTTGTACATAACAATATTAAGGTAAGATAAGCGAAAAATGAATATTTTACAAGATATTTTATGGCTTATTAAAATTAAGAAATTATTTCAAGCCTCATAACTCAAAAAGTACTTTATTGAAAAATAATTTATTATAGTGTTTTGGAAAGCTCTCGAGGTAGGGGGTTCCATTTAAAAAACTGCACTTCCGATCTGAATCGTCTATTTCCGGCCGGAAGCAGAAGTTAAAAATATCACCATTCGATAGAGCGCACCCGATTTATCAAGAAAATGTTTTTACTTTTTTGAAATAACTACTTCTCTAGTTTTTAAATGAGTGGTGCTGAAACACCCTGTATAATAAAAGCGCAATATTTTAATTAATTATCTTCTTAATTTAAATAAAATAATTAAGTAACTTAATTTTGAAATAAAAATGTTAAGTAAAATGTTTTACCGAATACGCTCTATCCAATACAGCGAATCGATTTCTGGCAACCCAGATAGCGGTAACACCGGATGCTCGTTTGGTATCAGCATCTGTACTCGAATCCCCTTCACGCGGTATCATGTACAAATCATAAGTGCTATTCTCGATATTCGAGGGTGATCTCGTGCACACTAGAACGCTATTTTCCGCCTGATTGTACGACATACTGTAAGGCGGCGTTTTTCCTCCGCCGCGAATTTGCATCACCGATGTATCCTTGGACGTAGTGAAATCAAGCTTCCGAAGAAAACGGTCTTTCACGTAATACAGAAGATTTCCATAAACCGCATACGCGGGACGTTCCCTCTCGAGTTTGAAGATGATCATTCCGGAATCGTGGCCCGCGGCGAAAAGATTCAGAGTCGGATGAGCAGCGAGAACCCAGAATCTCTCATGTTCCCGTCTGAATGTGTGCAGACACGTGCGTTTTGTCATATCCCACACTCTGATGCTTTTATCTTCCGAATTCGAGAGAATGAGATCTTGTCTAGGGTGGAACAACACGCAGGATACGTTATTATAATGGCCGCGACACGTGTCCACTTCCCAAGCCTTAGCGTCGTTCATCCGCCACATCTTAATTTGCCGATCATCAGCTCCGGAGACGATCAAGGGTAACGTACCATGGAAGCACGCCCAATTTACGCCTCTATCGTGGCCTTCTAGAACGTACTTCACCACTGCATCGGCCTGGCCGAATAAATCGGTTGCTCCGGGATTTTTCAGGTGATCCTCAAGACCTCCTGGACCTGGCGCTACATTCTTTTTGCGTAATCCTGCAATTACATTCAATTATTAAAATTTTTCTTCGCGATTCTCAAAGTAATTATCATATATACTATTTTGATTTTCTAATTATATGTATACAGAGTGTTTCAGACCATCCGTACCACTCATTTAAAAACTAGAGAATGGTTATTTCAAAAAAGTAAAAATATTTTCTTTATAAATTGGGTGCGCTCTATCGAATGGTGATATTTTTAACTTCTGCTTCGGCCGGAAATAGGCGATTCAGACCGGAAGTGCATTTGTTTAAATAGAACCCTCTATTTTTCATTGCATATTCTTGTAGCTTACCTCGAGAGCTTTCCAAAACATTATAATAAATTATTTTTCCATGAAGTACTTTTCGAGTTATGAGGCTTGAAATCATTTCTTAATTTTACATAAACGATAAAATATCTTATAAAATATTCATTTTTTGATTATCTTACCTTGATACTTTTATGCAAAATAATGAGAGGAATCAATTGGTGTAAAGAAAACACATAGTTATTTCGAAGAAAAAATATGTAATTTGCAATTAACAATTAAATATTTTTTCTTAAACGTAACTATGTGTTTTCTTTACACCAATTGATTCCTCTTATTATTTTGTACATAAACTTCCGGTCTGAATCGCCTATTTCCGGCCGGAACCAGAAGTTGAAAATATCACTATTCGATAGAGCGTACCCGATTTATAAAGAAAATGAAAAATTTTATTTTTTTGAAATAACCACTTTTTGTAATTTTTAAATGGGTGGTACGGGTGGTCTAATTTAAAAAATAATGAAAACAGAAAATTAAATATAAAATTTAATTTTCTGTTTTCATTATTTTTTAAATTATTTAATATTATTTATTATAAATTTTTAATATATATATATATATATATATATATATATATATATGTGTGTGTGTGTGTGTAGTGTATTTGTGTAAAGAATAATATAATTATATATAATATTATCGAAATATGATATTATTTGTACATATAAAGAAATAATTTGTTTTGCACGAACCAGAGATATCCCAAACCCGGACCGTTTGATCCAACGAAGCTGACACAATAATGTCTTCCGTAGGATGAAATTGCGCGCACATTACGTAATGATTATGTCCAGTTAATACACAAATGCAAGTGCGACTTTGCCAGTTCCAGATTCGGATAGTCTGATCGTCCGAAGCGCTGAGAATCCAGGGATACTCTTGATGGAACACAGTAGTTCTGATGTAGTCCAGATGACCTAGCAGGGTGAAGATACATCTACGTTGCTTATAATTCCAAACCTTAATCTTGTAATCATCGCCGCCAGAAACGAACAGCGGTTGCTGATTGTGGAAACATATTCCTCGTACGGGTCCATCGTGCTCGTCAAATTTGTCGAGCAGGGTGCACATACGGTAGTCCCATAATTGAATGACGCCATTGTGTAAACTGGAATTCATTTATAAAAAAATTATAGCGTAATATTTTTTGTGAATTAATTTAAACAATGTATAAAAAATTGCAATATAATTACGTTTAATTAATTAATATATAAACTCAATATTTAATAATTATATTAAATAATATTACATAATTTTTTATAAACTCAATATTTAATAAATAAGTAAATATTTAATAAATTAAATAAATATTTTATAAATATTTTAAAAATATTTTATAAATAAAAAAATTTATTTTATAAATTAATACATATTTTATAAATCTAAAGAATGTGTACATAAGATAAATTTATTGAATAGATATTTATTTATTTTATATATTATTTTCTTGATATCTTTTTTAATTAATATATTTCAAAATATTAAAATTGCAAAATTTCTTTTAGCGTATTGCTTAATTCCTATTATCTTTTGTGCATGCAAATATCCTTTAATATCCTTTATTTCATGAATGATACGACTTACGAAATTGCTCATATTGGATCGTGCGTTATAAGTATTATTCCTTTCAATTGCTATAAACTATATCAGGAATTTTACGAAAGGTCTGGATTGCGAAAACCGGCGGTTCGTGCAATTTTTTTCTGGGCGGTTACAAAATGAAGGATAAATATAGAGGTCATTTGGAAACTGGATTTCGGGCCTACGCCTCTATACAGAGTGTCCTGATATTGCAATGAAACGAAAATAAATGAATTTAAAGATAAAGATTATCACATATAAAATGAGATTAATAAATTCTATCATTTCCAAATGAATAAAATCCATTTTCAAAATAAATAATTTATATATATAATTATAACTTTTTAAAAATAAAATTTAATGAATCTGGCGAATCTCGCACTTTTAACCACCTTGTGTGTTTTGTTTCTATTATCTTCGAAAAAAGGTGTGGTACATCCATTTCTTAATCGAAATACCGAAAGTGTTTCGTAGAAGTACTTTTGGTTCGACCACCTACGATAATCATTTTAAAATATACATGAATATTAAATAACTGCCGCCTATATCTAACAAAGAGCTCAAACATGATTGCCAAATTTGTCATTAGTTCGATGTTAAATCAGTTTACAGAGTGATCCATTACATCCTATAAATTATAATATCCAATATTTCAAAAACATAAATTAAATGTAAATAATAATAATTTATATGTAAACATAATTTATATGTCAAACATAACTTATATAAAATTATATTATTACAATTAATATTGTGATAGATTTAACAAGTATATATTAAAATAAATTACACTTTCTACAATTAAATATATCTTATTGTTTTTAAAATACGTTAAAATATTGTTATTTATTTTTGTTTGTAGGAATATATTTTGAATAAATATATAATATATATTAAACCAATATAATATTTATTCAAAATTTAATATATATTAATATATATTATATAATATTAATATACAGAGTGTCCCAAAAGTCCCGGACCGGTCGAATATTTCATAAACTATGCACCTTAGAAAGAAATGTTTCAGACAAAAGTTGTATGGCTTGAAGGGAGCCATCAGATAGTGGCAATGATTTGATCTTGGAGAGTCATTTGAACGTGATGTAAAGGTCACCTTCAATTTCTTAAATAGGATTCCCTATTTTTTATTACATATTCGTGTAGCTTATCTCGAGAGCTTTCCAAAACATTCTAATAAAATATTTTTTCCTCGAGTACTTTTTGAGTTATAAGACTTGAAATTACTTCTTAATTTTACATAAATCATAAAATATATCTATAAAAAATATTCATTTTTCGATTATCTATCTTACCTTAATACTTTTATGTACAAAATAATGAGAGGAATCAATTGGTGTAAAAAAAACACATAGTTGTTTAAAAAAAATATTCATTTTTCGATTATCTATCTTACCTTAATACTTTTATGTACAAAATAATGAGAGGAATCAATTGGTGTAAAAAAAACACATAGTTGTTTAAAAAAAAAAAATGTAATTGTTAATTGCAAATTACATATTTTTTTGTTAAAAACAACTGTATGTTTTCTTTACATCAATTGATTCCTCTCATTATTTTGTACATAAAATTATTAAGGTAAGATAATCTAAAAATGAATATTTTACAAGATATTTTACGGTTTATGTAAAATTAAGAAATGATTTCAAGCCTCATAACTCGAAAAGTACTCAATGAAGAAATACTTTATTATTGTGTTTTGAAAAGCTTTCGAGATAAGCTACACGAATATGTAATAAAAAATATGGAGTTCCATTTAAGAAATTGACGGTGATCTTCACGTGACTTTCATATGACTCTCCCATGTCAAATCATTGCCACTATCTGATGGTCCCTTTCAAGCCATACAACTTTTGTCTGAAACATTTCTTTCTAAAGTGCATAGTTTATGAAATATTCGACCGGTCCGGGACTTTTGGGACACCCTGTATATTAAATAAATATATAATATAATAATTTGAATAAATATATAATATATATTAAATGTAATTTATAATAAATAATATATATGTATAATATATATGTTTTAATAAATATCTTAATACATATATTAATATGTATAATAATGGAAGATTAATTTATTCTTTTAAACTAGATGATTTTCGCTGATACATCAAGATACCCGATAAAACTATCCGAAATTCGATCTATATGCGCTACATAATTTTGACGAATCTAACGAGATATATCCCCTCAGGACATTTCTGTGGAATCAGGTCGTCAGAAGCGGAGGTGTACGCGAGAGAGTGGGGCGTGAAATGCACGTCGTGTATATAGAGATCACATCATAACAGCATCTTGGTAGTTTGCCTCTCAATTGCATTAGACTTACAGGCCTTTGTCGATCTTCGACAATGGCATTGTTACGGTTCTTTTGCGCTATCATTGTAAGTATTGTGTATTCGCATTAAAAAAAAAATAAATAAAAATAAAAAATTTCTATTTCCAAAAATATTTAATTTTTATTCTAATAAATTCGAAATTCATCAATTTTTACATTATTTATTAAATAATCTGCGCGGTCATTAATTATTAAATTGCAATAACTTGTATATTTATGTCAAATAAAATTACGTGCCTTTTTTATTGTTTAATTTTTCGTAGATATAACATCAATGAATGCATTTGAATTAATTTTTTTATATATTCATAGATATCAATGGAAATTTCTATCTAAAATATCCAATCTTTACTTTAATAAATCCGAAGTATCAATTCCACTATTATTTATTACATAATTCATCAATCATTAATTAAAAAATTGCAGTAAAATCTAATAATCTAATAATAATCTGTGTGTTATTTATGTCAAGTGAAGTAAAACATGTCTCTTGTTCCATTTTTTTTAACTTTTTGTAGGTATAATATTAATGAGAAGGCATTTACATTTTAATAGAAAATTTTTGTTTTAAAATATTCAATCTTTATTTTCATAAATCTGAGTTATCAATTTCTTTATTATTTATCACATAATTCATCAGCTTTGCGTTGCAAAATTGCAATGAATAATCTATGTATTTATGTCAAATAAAATCACATATGTCCTTTTTTTTTTATTTTATCTTTCTTTTTCAGCTTTTTATAGATATAACATCAGTGAGAACGTATTCTGTTTCATACGATGGCATTCACCTGGCATTTTCTAATACTCCAAGATTGATATATACAGAATCTGAATCTAATCCCACTTTCAGTGGATATTCCTATACAACTCAGGATTTGAATGGTGGGGAAAGTAATGTTGTTTTTACAACCGGTGCTGATTCCCTGAGCAGGTTGCAGCATGAAATGGATTCAATGAAAAATAATATACTGGAAAAAAGCCAAAAGAATTTAATGTCTTCAGAACAACAATCTAAATCCGAAGAAACGAGTATGAATGAACAAGAAGCTTTCAATTCAAATGGTAAAAAATCTCAAGGAAGAAAAGGATCTATCAAAGAACTTTGAGGCAGAAGATAATTTTGTTGAACATCAAACACCTTTTCAGCAAATCTCCTTTGTACCTTATCCTGCATTTAGAACAAATTTACTCAATTATCCAAGATATCACATTTCATCAAACATAATACAGAGTTATCCTCATGATCCTCTCTATTCCCAGTTAGGACTACCTTTGCATAATTTTAATCTTTACAATCCCTCTGCGCCATTATTTTATCGAGCAGCGATAACGATTCCTAGAAATAACACCAAACATACGTCAACAGCTGTTCAAAATACAAAAGTATCTCTAGAATCAAGTGATATTAAAAGTGATATTAAAACTAATACCACTGCTGCTGAATCCACCTCTATAGAGTCCAGTATAATAAGTTCAAGGTCTGACCTGGAATTGACAACAAATGCAGTTGATAAAATGTCAAATAAATCTGCAACCTCTGTAGATAAATTGGAATTCATTACTACGTCCAAGAAAATAGAAGAGGAAATTACAAGTAATAATCCTATAGAACCTGCAGTAACAGTTGACAGTTCTGTTGAACAAACTACAGAGGACAAAACAAGTACTACTGGCTTTGAAAATATAGAAATAAGTCCTTCGACGCAGGAATCAACTATTACAACATCTACAAGTACATGAAAATATCAACAATTAAAATATTCTATATTTTTCCTCTTGACAATCACATTAATAATGATAGTATTTCAAAAATGTAACAAAGTTTACTGCAATTTTATACCTGTTATTTGAATTATATTAAAATAAAAGTCGTTTGACATTTACATAAATTATGAATCTTTTTATTTTAACATAATAAAAATAAATTAAATTATTAATGAAGATATTTTCATTATTAAATAATTAAATAAATAAATTAAATAAATTAAATTAATAATGAAAATCTTTTCATTATTAAACAATTAAACAAATAAATTAAATAAATTAAATTAATAATGAAAATATTTTCTAATTAAAAAAATATCTCTTTTCCACAAAATTATCCATGTTGAAATTAATTAAAGTACTGTGCAGTAAATAGAAGGTTATGTCAATGTCAACATGTATTTAAAAATTGTCACATTCAAAAATATTCATCCACTAATTTTCTAGTGAAATTAAATTTAATTAAATTAAAATTTGTGCAAAATATCTTAACGTTGAAATATTACGGGAGGATCGATAGGACGGATTCTGCATCGAACCTTACCTCGCAAGCACCCAAGGACGTTTCGGATGAAAGGACAACCCCTTCACTCGCGCGGACTTTGTTTCGAATTTCGTTAACATTTTCACTTAATTTTATCCGAGACGTCGTTTAATCGGTCCAACATCAACCTCACGAAATCTCTCAAACTTTTGACACCCGATGGGAGACACGTCACGTATATTTCGCGAGCTACAAATGCGCAAGACTTCCTTCTAGTGAGATTCTAGTGAGATTCTAGTTACCAAATTAATTCTCTGAAAAATTACCGGAGACTCTGATTGGCTGTCTAATGCGGTTTTTTATTTTTTTCTATAAACTACTGGCCAAGAAATTCAAGACACATACGCCGAATTGTACGCGACGCATTCTGATTGGTCGGCCGTTTCGCGCATGCGCACTCGCGGAAGGCACGTTCCGTCGTCTGGTCCGTCTAACCTTGGACATTGGTCGTTTGTCAATTGTTTCGAATGAGATTATTCTCCGAAATTATGATCTGACCTGTGATAGAACAAGCTCGTGCGCTCGAAGACGTTTATTACTATTTTTTTTAGAGCGACACCTCCCCTCTCGTGTGCTTCCTGTATTTTTGATAAAATTGCAGTTGGGTCGACAGCCGGCGCGGTATAATGCAAGTGCCGACCAGTGCCATTGTTTTTCTCAACTTGTTTATAATCGCATCGATTTGCATGAACAACGTCCAATGTGAGAAAGAAAGGTCGAACGACAAGGAGGAACGTAAATCTCAAACCTTCCCTCCCTGCGCAGCATGCAAAATACTTAGCACTAGTTTCAAAAAGGTAAACATATTTTTACCTCTATAACTTTACACAAAAATAATTTTAAATAATATTAATTTGAAATAATATTAATTTTTAATAATATTAATTTTAAATAATATTAATTTTTAATAATATTAATTTGAAATAATATTAATTTTAAATAATATTAATTTTTAATAATATTAATTTTAAATAATATTAATTTTAAAAAATATTAAAATAATCTTTATATTAAATATACAGGTTTTTTTTTCAAGATTCATTAAATAATTAATCAGATTTAAGTATTAAAAAGATTTCTGAAAAGATGAATTGTTTAACAATTAACACAAAACAAAGTTTATTTTTTTGCTTATCCAAATCTTCATATATTGATAACGAGGAAGTTCTTTTTATTGGCGCGACTTTATTCATTAATTACTGCTTTATTAAGCATTATAGAAAAAAAATGGACTTTTAGACTTTCGGTTTTTAATCAGGAATAACGCTATTTGCTTAATGAGAGCTTTTTAAGATACACTCTGTATATTTTGTATAATTTTTAATACATATTTGAAATAAATATACATTAAATGATATATTAAGATAATTTAGTAATAAATTAAATTATCTATTAAAATTATATATTTCAATATATTAATTATATTTTTAAAAATGCCAATTGTATTTACATGTTACGTAATTTTTTAGTCAATGTAAAACTTTACAAATTATAAATTTCTTGTAGGGTCTAGAGAGAACGAGCCGTGGGAAGTTTGAGGGTGGAGACAGCGCCTGGGAAGAGGACAAACTAAGTCCATATTCAAAAAGTGAAATTCGATTAGTCGAGATACAGGAGAACTTGTGTAAAGAAGTCAAACATGGTGAGACGCAGTGTCAATCTTTAGCAGAGGAATTGGAAGGACAGATAGAGGAGTGGTGGTTTAAGCATCAAGATACTCATCCCGATATACACAATTATATCTGCATCGAAAAGACAAAGCGTTGTTGTCCAGAGAATCACTATGGTCCAAATTGTACTCCGTGTCCAGGATATCCAGATAAAGTCTGTAGTAATAATGGCAAGTGCAAAGGAGCTGGTACGAGGAAAGGAAATGGCGGTTGCTTTTGCGACAAGGGATACACTGGAGATACTTGTTCAGAGTGTGCTCCAGGATACTATGAATCTTATAAAGATGAAGAGATTTTGTTATGTTCCGCATGCCACGCGGCATGCAATGGATCTTGCAAGGGCGCCGGACCAAAAGATTGCGAGAAGTGTGCTAATGGATGGCACATGATCGAAGACAAAGGCTGCTTTGATATTGATGAATGCTTAAAAAGTAATGAGATCTGTCCTGGTAATCAATTTTGCATTAATAAAGAAGGAAGCTATGCTTGTTTAGGTATATACATACATATGCTATAAATTAATAACTCTTTTTTTTTTTTTAAATATATTAAAATTAAAAATTTTAAATCTTTCCAGCTTGTGACAAAGCTTGCAATGGTTGCACTGGTGATGGTCCGGACATGTGTATCAAATGTGCTGAGGGACACCATAAAAAGGATAATTTGTGTATAAGTAAGTATTAAAAATAAAACAATGCATGATATATTTTGAATAATGCGTATTTATAATTTATGTTTTTAGATTCAGATCTTCTTGGCCGCAAGAAACAGGAAAATCTAGCGCGATATCTGACGTATTTTGGACTCTGTGTGGCGATATGTATTATCTTGCAGCGCAATATTTATGCGGCAAGCATGATTGGCTTGCTAGTTGCAATATACATATGTGTCTCAGAATATATGATTGCGAATAGCAATGTTCAAGATACAACAGCAAATATGGACATTCTAGGACCAGCTTGAATAGGAACACAATTTAAATAATTCTATGAAATTTCATTATATAATATTGTGTTACACACATACACACGTCAATGTAAGAAATCATCCATATAAATATAGATCATAATATTAATATATAAATTTAAAAAAAATTATATATATATATATATATATATATATAAAAATTAAAATATAATTTACTTTATTTGCTAATAGTATTTTTTATTGATATGTCTAAAAATATCTCGAGATATGTTCCTAATACTGTATGCTTTTAATATCCATATATTCACTTTATATAATTATTATTCAGATTAGATAATTATTATCCACATTTTTATCCAGGGATATTGGAATACATCAAGAATATAGCCAGTTTTTATACTTTATATAGCAAGTCTTTTATTTAACCATTTCTCTTGTCTATTAAAATTATTACAATAGTTTTCTTGTTCTAAGTATCTTTATTATATATTGCATATATACATCATATTGTAAATATATTGTATACTCAATGTAAGATGTGTAACAAAAAAAAGAAGATATAACATAAGTACATTATACATTTAAAATAAGTATATTATATATATAATTTTATATTTATAGAAAATTTTAAACAATTTTTACTATATATATTCAAATATAAATACTATAATATAATTATATCAATTTTAATAAAAAAATAAAAAAATATTAGATTATACCAATAATAGACCTAAAATTGTATTACATTTGTACATATTAATACTTTTTAGATTTAGAAAAATTAACTGTACAGAGTGAAACATTTAATTTACACATTTTAAATAATTTATAAATTTTGCATTCTATGAAAAATTGTACCAATTTAATTAAATATCTATTGTTTGCTAATTACTTTTAATTAATTCCTAATTTTAAATTGAAAACAGAATTACGAAATATTTACAGATTTAGTAATTCTAACTTGTACAAATAAATTTTTTTGTAAGTATATATTTGCAAAATTTAAAATTTTTTATAAAATCATTCAACTTCTAATTTGATATTTTCTAAATTTTTATACATATTAATACAAATTATGTATATAGACATTCACATTATAAATTATTCTGATTAACTTTATTGATTTTATAAGCAAAGATATTCTTTTCTATAATAATTTGGAAAAGTTAAGAAACAAGCGTATTTTATATATAAATATAGTGTTTTAAAGTCATCCAAAGCATTTTTAGATCATTCAAGATTATTCTTTTAATAAACAATTCTTCGATCAATTTGGAAATGGTTTTTTCTTAATAAAAATATTAAGATTGATCATCAGTTTTATCAAGTTTTCAATTTTTGCCATTATGTATTAATCTTTTTATTATTTAGTAAATACAATTTTTATATTATACACTATAAGATTAAGTAATTTACGATTATATATATATATATATATATATATATATATATATATATATATAATCGTAAATTACTTAATCTTATAGTGTATAACATAAATATATATATATATATATATATATAATATATATATATATACATATATACAGGGTGAGTTTTATTTCGTGTGTCAATCTTTTTATCATGCGGGAGATTATCGACTGCATAATAAATCGATCGGTACATAAATGTCAATTATTTTGATCGACCGTAGATTTCAAAGACTTGAATATAATGTGTAAAATTATAAAGCAAAGTAAAAGCTGAATTTATGTAGTATGGAATTATTATTATTATTATTAATAAAACTACGTATTTATTATTATTATTATTATTATTGTACACATTATATTCGGATCTTTGACACGGTCAAACTAATGGTACCATCTTATGTCTCCCTCGAAACCATACAACTTTTGTCGGAAACATTTTTTCGTATCTTTTAAACTTTACGAGATATTTCGATGGCAAAGTTAAAATGGAATACCTTGTAAGTATCCATTGAATGTTGTATGGATATCCCGTGGATATTGACTTACATATCTTATGGATATTTATGAAATCTCGTTTAGAGGACATTTGGATATCTATAGCATCTCTAATAACTGATTCTCATATATTCGTAGATATCCTTAATGCTGATGAGGAACATCCAATGGATAAATATCTATCTAATATCCAATTATTTTCTGTATAGGCATATGCAATATTTTATAATAAGATATGCAATGTTTTATAAGAAAGTTTCATAATTTCTACATTTTTAATATACTGAACAATAAGTCATTAATTTAATTAAATGCGTTTAATTGGTTATTATTTTTTTAATTACAATGCTTAAATATTTAAGTAAAATATTTAACGAAAATATTTAACTAAAATATTTAACTAAAATATTTAAACTAAAAGATTGATAATCAATCAAACATATTTATTCAAGATGATAATCAATCAAATACATTTATTAATGAATTTTTTATAGATTTGCAATGTATACTCCCAATGCATATGCATACATCATAAATGGAAAATTAATTATTGATTCTAATTAAGTTTTTTTGATGAGAATAAAATGTTTATAAACTATTATTATAACCAGTTTGATGAGAAACAATTATGACTCGCAGCATACAAGAAGATAATAATGTTGAATAATGATATTAATAATAAAAAATTGTTTATAATATATTATTACATGATGGAAATAAAGATTATATATAGAGATAAAACTTATTACGCATATTGTGTTTCAAGCGCGCTTAAGATGAAACTGGATGGATATGTTAAAACTTAATAAAACTATTACTATAACTATTACTATAACTTAATAAAACTAAACTAATGCATTTGAAGATTTATTGACATTGCGTAAAGCATTTTTAGCATTTTAAAATTAATAATTAATTTTATATTTTAAGAATGTTTTCAAGCAACGTCAAATTTTTCTCGAAATATATTCGATTTATTAACTACACAGACCTGTGAGGGTCAGTTACAAAAAGCAGAGTAGATGAAGCTGATAAATTTTTTGACCCTGAAAACAAATCTGGCCGCAGAATTACCCCAGCACGTTAGGTTTTCGAGTAATTTATAGTTAAATAGTCCAAAAATGGCAATTTTGGCAAATTTCATGAATTTTTTATGGAAGAATCAAATTTTTGAAATATTTCTGCTAATAGTATCATATAATACTAGTCTTCACCTTTTAAATCCATTTTCGATTGCCTCACGATTTTTTTTCTCTATTGACGTAGCTAAGATCTGTCTAGAGTTCTTCTTAAGAATTACCACTTACGTATATTATGTATATTCAAATGATATTAGGAGATATACATGCATATCACGATTTGTGGCTGCGGTCAAGGAAACGCTGAAGATGTTTTGAAATGTTTGATTGACCAATCAGGATAAAAGAAGTAAAGATTTCTTTACTTTTCACTTTGACCGCAGTCTGTATCGCAAATCTTTCTTGCGTAATGACCATAGTATCATTTCGTGATTGAATCTTGAAACAAGAAGCGGAAATTTCATATAACATTTTGCTCTTTAAAAAAAATCTCTTAAAAGATTTTTCATTTTCTTTTTAGAAATATATCTATTCTCTTTTGCTTCCTTTTTTCAATCATCTTATTGTATTTAATTATCCAATATTTATATAAAATATGATAAATTGTGATATATAATTATATAATTGTAAAACAGTACAAATCAGTTAAAAGTGTCATCAACTATCTTGGTCAGGCATAGTTACTTAAACGCTGGTGCGATAGTAAGTATCAAAATCTTGCATTTTTTTCCAGTATCATATTGAAACTCTCAGTTTCGTTTTTTATTTTTTAAAAAACAGAGTATTCGTAAAATTAAAATGTGATTTAATAAAAAATATAATTGCTAATAAAAAATTGTTTGATTATTTAATAAAAAACACATTTCATTAACAAAAGATGGATATTTTATGATGACATTTTTTTCTGGATCATTTAAAAAATATATAAAAAACATTTATAAAGGGCATAGCATGATAAGTATACTGTGTGCTGCCCTCACACGAATCTCGTTGAGATTTTTACATAAGTTGATGTAAAAATGAATTTTGCAAAATATTATATCTGAAAAACATTTTGTATAGAAGTTAATTAAATTGAAAATCTTAAAAAAACGAATTTTCTCTTCAATGGGTGAATCGATTTTGACGAAAAAAAGTATATTATGAAGAATATATAAGTATATTGAAGAAATTGTAATTATGCAATAATTTGTTTTGCATTAATTTTGGATTTGAAAATAGCGATGCCAGAAATCACTTAAATTATAAACAGTTCGTACGCACTTTTGCTTAGTTTCATGTTTATTAAAGAGTTAAATAAACTATAAAGTACGTTTAACTAGAGCTATCAGTATAAGTGGCTTAGGTGAAGATATTTGATAATAAACTCTTTAATATCAAACTCTTTCTGCAGCTTCTAAGCCAATATTTTTGAAATTTCAAGCTCTTAATGCGGATAAGTATAACCAATGAGATTTTGAGTCATAAATACGCATATTTCTCTAACTTTAAGTCAACATGATATTCTCATCTATCCCATACTATTACAATCAATTACCGATATCAACTTTGATTCTTCATGATCACTCTTCGAAACCATTCTTATACTCAACTTGAAAATTTTCTCAGCTTAATATATCATTGATATATCATAAGTTATTATTTAGATCACAATTCAATTCAATCTGTAAGGATCACTAAACGGGCGAAAAAAAAACAGATGTTTTTGCAGATGATCTTTATGGCATATAATTTTTTATTTGGAAATAGAAAATTAATTGCATTTAAAATTTTATAATTCATAATTCTCTGAGAAAGAAATTCGGTTATATACATATATTAAATTATGATGAGCTTAAATTAGGCAGAGAGAAGACTGATTGTGAGATGTCATGGCCTGCTTTTAGATGATCCCTGAAAGCGATATTCTCTCTATGTACATTGAAAACGTGGACATGAATTACAAAGTTAATGTCCATGAATATTTTCAGAGAGCAATATATAATGTGCACAATTTCTGGTTTTGTTCCGTGCTTGTTTGTGCCGTATTAAGGTCTATTTACACATATCCGTGACGTATCAGTATCGTATCCGTTCAGTTCCGTGATTTTTCGTCAGTATCAGTGATGATAAATATCGTT